GATGCCCTGGCATACAAAAAAACCTCAGGGCAGCTGTACAGGCAGCCCAAGCCAAGCACCTTTGGCGAAGGCAGCCGAATGCTGCGCACCCGGCTGTGCCCCGGTCATGTACGCATCATGTACACGGCAGAACAATTTGTCCGCATGAATGAAAACGCATAGCGAGAGCCAATTGTGAAGGTGAAAAGAACAGAGCCAGAGGGAATAGAGCGTGCTCTTTGGATCAGTGGTGAGAAACAGCAGAGGAAAATATTTAAAAAAGCAACCAACCAAAACCAAACCACCCAACAAAAAGCCCCAAAGAACCACCCCCATGTAAACCAACTGACTCCCCGATCCAGGGGCGGACTACACCGCTAGCATTTGAACTCATTCATTTGAGCATAGAGTCCAGCTTAATTAAACACGAGAGAACAGAAATCCTCTAGTCTCGGGAGAAAGCTCTTTGCTAACGATCAGAATGAGGCTTTTTTGTCCTGCAGCAAATCCAGGCATAACTATGAAAATTTTGTAACATCATCTCTCAGTTACGAGATGTTTCACGCTTCAAACAGATGGCTCAGATCAGCTCTTAGAGAAGCCATGGCAGCTGATCTTTGCAGAGATTCTCCTTTGGATCCACACAGCCATTAGATGTCAGTGTTTCAGATGGCCTAAGGAAAATTCTCTTTTTTTGTCGCTTGGTTCTACCTTCTTGGAAGACACAGTCAGCACACTCCTACCCCACACCCAGTTTTAGCATTTGCAGAATGCAAAGAAATTTGTGGATGCCTTAGAACAAGAACTAAAATTCCTACATATTTTCTCTGTCCCTTTTCTTTTTGGAAAGTAGGGAGTTTTCACAAGGAGAACAAACATCCCGTTTAAAGTTTCTGAAGTAGCTGGAGAGTGGCAAGAAGGGGCAGCTCCGTGCTGCTCCACTCCAGTCAGCCTCCCTCCAAGGAAGAGGAACGAAACCACGGCTCACAGCCAGGCACCCATACAGCCCATCACCAGCCTGATCACCGCAGCATCGGGTCCACCTCCACGCTCCCATTTTTATCCCCACCTGGGGAAAGAATCAGAGATGCCACCCAACAGGGAACTCCTGGCATGGAGCAGAGCTCAGGCTTCCAGCTCCAGCCATACATACTACAGACAGTTCCAAAGCATCCACAAACCAGTCACCTCATTCCAGGACTCCTAATTCTCAGCAAAAAATTGAGTAATTTCTTATTAAAGTGATTTCTTTTTCAAGTTGTTTCCAAAAGAGAGACTGGCAGCCAGAGAATGCTCTGTACCTAAAAGTTACAGCAACAGGACACGTGCAAAGTCCAAACAGAGACCACCCCGCAGTCTTACTTGTAGCAGACGAGCGCAGACCTAGGACTCCCTCCTGCGAAGCCGCTTCTTTCTGCGGCAACCATTGTAACCTAAATTGCAGTCAGAAAGTCACATCAAGGTTTTCTCCAGCACAGCTGCTCCAGGAAGGCCCAGGAACAGCCTCCCTCTGCTACAGACCACGCTTCGCTGTATGTCTGGGATCACCCCAAATTCAGATCTAGTAGGTCTGGGTTTTGTTTTTTTAAATTACCCCCCCCTTTTTTTTTTTTTCTAAGCCAGGCAGCAGCTCTTGTATAAGTCCTCCGCAAAGCTACAGAGTAGATGAGTTTCCATGGAGACCACCAAAGTCACCTTTCAGGCTATTTTGAAGGCTTCACGTATATGAATCTGTTTCCTCCCTCAGTCATGAGTTATCACTGAAAAATCTACCCAATATTTTCCTCAAAATAGCTTCTTGGTTAAGTGATTCTGCAAGAGACTCCTCAAGGACCTTAACTGGATTTTTTAAAGGCAAAGGAAAATACAGGATTTAAACAAGCTGCCAGGGTTTTTCCAAACCCAACTGTAATAAAAACATCCAGCCAGACTCCATCTTCCTCTTCTGCCGCTGACCACAACCCTACGCTGAAACTATCACAACATCTTCCCGCCTTCGCCAAGCACTGGTTCTCCCCTTTTCAGCCACACACAGGTGTCCTCCCCCCACTCCCTGCACAGCCCCATCTCCTGAGGACCCCCCACTCCTCCCCACGCTTTCTGCATCCAGCTCCAGCCTCTCTCCTCTCCTGCCTTTTTGGAAATCATTTCATTTCTTTTGAAATCATGATTTTTGAAATAATTTCATCAGGAGGTAATTCTGCCCCTCTACTCCGCTCTGGTGAGACCCCACCTGGAGCATTGCATCCAGCTCTGGAGCCCTCAGCACAGGAGAGACATGGACCTGTTGGAGAAGGTCCAGAGGAGCACAACAAAAATGATCCGAGGGCTGGAGCACCTCTCCTGTGAAGACAGGCTGAGAGAGTTGGGGTTGTTCAGCCTGGAGAAGAGGAGGCTTCGAGGTGACCTCATTGCAGCCTTCCAATACCTGAAGGGGGCCTATATGAGAGATGGGGACAGACTTTTTAGCAGGGTCTGCTGTGACAGGACAAGGGGTAATGGTTTTAAACTAAAAGAGGGTAGATTTAGACTTGACATAAGGAAACAATTTTTTTGCAGTGAAGGTGGTGAAGCACTGGAACAGGTTGCCCAGAGAGGTGGTGGAAGTCCCATCCCTGGAGGCATTCAAGGTCAGGCTGGATGGGGCTCTAAGCAACCTTATCTAGTTGGAGATGTCCCTGCTCACCGCAGGGGGGTTGGACTAGATGACCTCTAAAGGTCCCTTCCAGCCCAAATGATTCTATGATTTCAGTCTCCTGTCCTAAAGTCAATTTTCCTCTGGCAATTCCCCTCTCCGCACTGTCCGCAAATATGAGTTAAACACATTTTTTGAGAAAATTTTATTTTCTGTCCTACAACTATGCACGCTGTTAAGTTCCATTTCAGGTTTTGATTTCCAGTGATAATTTATATGATATAAATGAGGACATAAACACACCACTTTCCAACTTCATTCCTATGAGGACTTCTTAATAGGAGGCACGAATACACTTGACATTAGGCAGTGTGCCTTAGATTTATTTAAAAGTTACACAGGGCATAGCCGGAGGGAGAAGGGAACAGCAAAATCAATATGAAGCAATTTACTATCTCCCCCAACTGTATAATATTAAGTTATGCAAAAATACATTCTGCGATTTCTCATTTAGGACACCAGCAACAGGGATGTAGGCTATAAAACACAGAAATACTGATAAGACAGCGGCAAATTGTACTAGAGAACCAGGAGGGCACTGGCTGCAGGAGACATTACCCATCCTAGCTGCTTTTTCACTCTGCGCTGCAAACCAAAGGGACAGTTGGTGACACTGACATTCATCATGGATCAGAGAAAGGGCGTTCATACCATGGAAAAATCAAGCTTGAATCGTTTAAATCACAGAAGCTATTGCTACTGCCAGAAGGCAGCAGGGTAATAAGAGGGTTGCCTTCTACATGGATTTGTGCAGAAGCTGAGCTAAGCATGTGTCCCTTTTCTGGATCCTGCTGAGCCACCCCTCTCCTTCCCAGAGCTGCACCTCTTGTAGAGCGGCCTCAGCAGTTCCTCTGCACCCACAGCAGAAGGTGGTTGAAGGTCTGAGGGATCTCCTTTGACTGGTTCAGTACATCCAGCCGGAATCATGCCCCCCCCCCCCCCAAGAACTACGACCATATACTTACAGGGAGACCAAAAAGCTCCATCAAAACAAGCACAAGTTGCTTATCTAGCAAGAGAAGAGATTTTCCAGATGAAACAAAACCAAAGACATTGTACTCCCACATGCTCTGTTAGCTCGGCGTACGCTTGGTCACCTTTGATCAGGAAGCTCTGGCCACCTCTCTTCCCCCAATCTCAGCTGGGAGAAGCGACATGCTGAGCATCCTGACCACGCTCTCGGGGTCTCCTTCGCAGAAGGGCATACATGCTGCCGTTCAAGCCACCACTTGCTTTCACCAACGCACTTGTCAGCTCCTCGCTTCACGTCTCCAAAAACTAAGAGATCTTTTCATTTCATTCTGCACTCACACAGGCAGCAATCATGCAATCTCCCCATTTCCCTGGTCTGGCATAAAAACGCACTGACTGTGCACAGCACCACGAGCCCAGGCACACACTTCCAGAGTAAGTGGCGCAACGACAGCTGTGGGGTGAAAGTCTGCGGAAAACCGCAAACTGGCTCTGTCGCTGCAGTCAGGCTTGACACTCGACCACAAGTGGAAGTTCACAAGTCTGTTAGCAGAGAAATAGTTATGGATGTCCTTCAACACCTCCCTTGTTCTCTGTCGGTGCTGGCATCCAGCAAGACGAGCACAGCAATTCACCCGGGGCATTCCACCACTAAGCAAGGGAATAACCAGATTTTAAGTCAGCTCTACATTCTTCAAATGCAGGACCTATAGACAACACTCCCAAATCTCTGGCTGTGCTGTTGTCTGAAGATGCACATAATGCCTGAAACAACCTTCATCCTAACTGCCCCAGCTTACACCTAACAAGAATCCACCAGCATAGCATATAGCCATCTGAGATCCCCAGAGGGAAAAAAAAAATAAAATCACTCCATTTCTCACTAGCATACCTTCCAAAACTGTTGTGGTGACTTGACCAAAGTGGCATAGATTGGGAGGGGGTGGGTAAAGAAAGAGTAATCACGGTTTTTAGTTAGATTTTTCAGCTGTTTGTTCCATTTGCTTTAGACTTTCTCTTTTCAATCCCTGCAATTAACTATGAAAACATTCCATCCCGACAGAAAGCTACTGACCATCTCCAAGCACAGCAGCCAGATGATAATCTTAGAACAAAAAGATACATCCTTGGATCCACTT